TAAATAGTTTAGGCTTTTCAGGCCATCCAGTCTCTGTTTCATCTACTTAAGTCGACTTCCGTAGTATGAAAACAGCTGTAGATAACACGTAAGTGAATGAGGATGGCTCTGTTACAGTAAAACTTTATTTACAAGAACAGGGAGTAGGGCAGATTTGGCCCACAGTTTGCCAACTCCTGATTTATTCCATTTTTGCTATCACCTTGCTTTCTACAATAATTTCCTAAGTAGGATTTCCTAGATGTACATATCTTGGTATGCTGTTGCTGGAAAATGTCATGGCTTAAAGAAGATTTATTTCTGTACCTTCTATTCTGTTTTATTGGCTTTTATACGTGCTCCAATGCCTGAGCACCTTAATAGCTACAGATTTAGAAAAAGTCCTGATATCTTATAGGGCAAGTTAACCCACATTGTCCTTTAGAAGAATTTATTTATTTATTTATTTTTGGCCCACTGCCCAATTCCAAAGCCACTTTCACAGTTTTAATTGTATGTTACAGCAGCATCACATTTCCAGTAACAAAATCTGTTTTACTTTTCTATTGGCTGTTCAGTTGGTTGTTTAGGGTTTATAGTCTTCATCTTTAACTTAGGAAAATCTACCTTCAAATGATATTGTCACTTCATGTATAAAACCTTAAAATAATATACTTTAATTTGTTAACTTCTCAGCCTTTATGCTATTGTTTTCATATATTTTACTATATATGATATAAACTTCACAACATAATGTTATTAGGTTTGCTATATACAATTACTTTAAAAAAAACTAAATAATAAGAAAAAATATTTTTATTTACCACGTTGTCCCCCCTTATCTGTGGGGGATAAGTTCCAAGAACTCCAGTGGATGGCTGAAACCGTGGATAGTACCAAACTCTACATATACTGTGTATTTTTGCTGTACATTCATACCTATAATAAAGTTTAATTTATAAATTAGGCACAGTAAGAAATTAACAATAATTCTTAATAATAAAATGGAACACTTACATTATTTTTTAATGAAAGTTATGTGAATATGGTTTCTCTTTCTCTCTCTCTCAAATATCTTATTGTTCAGTACTTACCTTTCTTTTAATGATGTGAGATGATGATGCAATGCATGATGAGATGAAGTGAAGTGAATGACACGGGCATTGTAATGTAGCATTAGGCTAATACTGACCTTCTGGTAATATGTCAGAAGGAGGATCATGTCGATGGTTGGATGTTAGGAGCAGACAATATTGATGGTTAGGGATCCTCAATAGTCAGAAGTTCCCCCCTACCCCCACCCCCAAGTCCTTTCAGAAGAACATTGTAATCAGAGGTTGTTGTCTTTTACTTTTTAACTCATCAAAGTGTTGCTGCAGAGATTGTAATTCTTTGGTGATCATATGGATAACTTTAATGCTGCATTCCATCCGAGGATCATATTATATAATTTTGTAACGTTTGTGCAATTCAAAACACTTTGGCAAATTTTGGTAATGTTTACATGGCTGGTTCTGCTTCAGTTTCTTCATCATCTTCCTCTTCCTTTGTAGATGACTCAACAAGTTCTTTCACTTCCTCATTCGTTAGCTGTTCTTTATACCTTCAATATGTTCTTCTACTTCTTCATCAAACATGTTGGCAAATCTTTCTTCACCAACTTGTCTTGCTATGTGAATGATATATCTAACATCTCCATCGATCCCGTGGAAGCCTTTAAAAATCATTCACGACTTCACTCCATGAGTTCTTTCCCTAGGCATTTGCAGTTTCTTGTTTTAATTCATCCAGTGAACCTTTGATAAATGTTATTGCATCAGCAGTAGTGAATGATTTCCACCCCTGAATTATGCCCAGATTAGAGTCTGCATCAATTGCTGATCAAATGTGGTCAAATGCCAGGTGTGTGTGTGTGGCCTTGACAAAACCAGTGATGCTCTGGTCAGGAGGCTAAAGCGATGAGGTTTTATTTGATGGTAAAAATATAACCTCAACATTTTTATCTTCATAGTAAACAAATTTAGAATGGTCAAGTACCTCGTCTATTGTTAATAGGACTTCAAATTCCAACCCTTCTTCTTCCAAGTATATTTTCACTTCTGGGATGAAGCATTGGTGGAACTGTTCCATAAACAAGATGGCTGTTGTCCATACTTTTTGACTATATTTCCAGAACTTGGGCAGATAATTTTTGTTTTTGAATGTGAAAATACATGAGTTCTTTGCTCTGTACACTACTCCTTGCTTTATAATATGCACATAGTACTGGAGTTAATCTGTCCTTCCATGTTTTATGCCCTGGTGCCTCCTTTGCACTTTTATGAATGTAGGTTCTATTGCATGTCTTCTTCCAGAAAAGCCTGGTTTCATTGCAATTGAAGACTTGGTTTGGATGGTATCCTTTCTCCTTAATTAACTAATTCAACTCTATCAGAAATATGGCAGCAGCTTTTTCATCAGCAGACATAGCCTCTCTAGTAAATTTTATGTTTTCCAGTCTGAACCCATGCCTGAATCTGTGTAACTATCTCTTACTTGCAGTAAATGGCTTGGTGTCACTTGTTTCAGGAGATCCCTTGCCTAAGTTTTCATATAGGTTCAATGCTTTCCAGTACAATGCATTGCCATCAGTTGGAGCATGTTTTCTGTTCATGTTTTCCACCCACTAATTTAATGCTTTTTCCATCTTAACTAAGCAGTTATCATGTACTGTGGCCATATCTTTTGCAGTTTCAAGTGAGACAAAAAAACTAGCACAAGTTTCTCTCTCTCTTTCTTTCTCTCTTTCTTTCTTTCTTTCTTTCTTTCTTTCTTTCTTTCTCTCTCTCTCTCTCTCTCTCTTCTCTCTCCTTCCTTCCTTCCTTCCAACAGTTTCACGGATAGAAGATTCGTTTTTATCATAGATCTTAGCAACCTCAACATGTGATTTTTATCCTTTTTTTCATTAAACTGAAAATTTTCACCTTTTCACTTTAAGGAAGCATTTTTCTGGCTTCTCATTGACATATCCAAATTGCCAGTATTGCTACTCTTGCACTTTGGGGCCATTATTAAGTAAGATAAAGGTTACTTGAATGCAAGCACTGTGATACCATGACAATCCATATGATACCCGAGACAGCTATTAAGTGGCGGAAGGATGGGGAGCATATACAGTATAGATAAGCTGGATAAAGGGCTGATTCATGTCCCAGGTGGGATGGAGTGGGATGAAGTCAGATTGTGTGAGATTTCATCATGCTACTCAGTACATCGCACAATTTAAAACTTCTGAATTGTTATTTCTGGAATTTTTCATTTAATGCTTTTAGGCCACGTTTGACTGCAGGTTACTAAAACTGTGGAAAGCAAAGCCATGAATAAGGGGAGACTACTGTACTGTTGGGAAAGGTAGTTTCATGCATGTAGTCTTTTGACTCCCTGCTTGGCCACATAAGAGTGGGCATTGGGCCTGGAACACTTCCTTACGAAGAACTAAAGAGCCCACATGGCCTGTGTTGGGCTTATTGCCTGTGTGGAAATATCTTTCTGTTTAAGATTCAATGACTATTCCTTTGTTTTACTTAAGCATGTGCATCAATGGTCCTCAGGCATGCTCCAGCTTCCAGTATTTCAAATTCTACAGGGGAGGGTTCTTGGCCTTCCTCAGTGGCATGAGAGGGGTGCTCATAGCCAATTGCCTTGTTTTGGCTGTTGGTGGTACCAGCTAGCCATGGGGGACTGATGCACACTATTGAAGCTGACATTGCTCTGTCTCTTCTGTATGTAAGTAAAGCCTTGCTCCCATCTAGTGATTGACTGCATTGTGTTCTCCTTGGCAACTCTGATACAATGGGCAGGAGTGTTTAAGTTTCCTCCTTTGAGATTGGTAACCAGTACATGGTGTTCTGCCTAAGAGGTATCAATTCTGGTTTTCTTCCTTAATTTGTGTATTTCTATATTTTCATCTGGTATCATTTTTTTTTCCTGCTTGGAGGATTCTTTACCACTTTTTGTTGTGCAGGTCTGCTGTTGATGTGTTCTTGAAACTCTTTGATTTCTAAAAAAAATTTTTTTTCCCCTTCAGTCTTGAATGATACTTTTTCTGGAGAAAGAATTCTAGGTTGACTTTTTCTCTTCTAGTACTTTAAAGATGTTGCTTCTTTGTCTTCTGGTTTGCATGGTTTCTGATAAGAAGTCTGCTCTCCTCCTTATTCTTCTGTGTAATCTGCTTTTCTCCTCTCTCTGTTTTTAAGATTTTCTCTCTATCATGCTTTTTAAATAATTTGATTATGATACGGCTCAGGCATAGATGTATTTCTTTATATTGCTGTGGTTTTGGGGGTATATCATTTTCATAAAATTTGAAAAAATTTTTGGCTATTATTTCTTCAATTACTTTTTCTCTTGCACACCTTTCTTCTTCATCAAAAACTCCAATTACAAGCATATTATACCACTTTAAGTTGTCCTACAGCTCACTAATGATCTGTTCATTATTTTTTTAGTCATTTTCCCCCTCTTTATTTGAGTGTTTACTGATCATCAATATATATTAGTTTTTTTTTCTGAATAGGAAAAATCTCTAAGAGCTCGTTTTTAAGCTAGAAAATTATTTTGAGATATTAACAATTTTCATTAAAGTTCATTATTATACTTGTTTCCCATATTTTATGAAGATTTATTACACCAATCCTATTTTTCCTATACATCCTGCATGTTTTGTTACATGTTTTTGCATAGTGAGGTGATTTTCAGGAAGGCATTTGCCACATTATGGCAGAACTGACTGTAATTTATCAGAAGAATTTAAATGTTTTAATACATTAACTTATATACAACTTATTTTCAGTAAAGCATTATTACAAAGAGTCCAGCTGTATCATTAATTTGGTTTTGCATGTATTTAGGTAATTTTCCTCGAAACATTGTATAGTGTTTCAGAGTAAAATGGAAATTTTAGTAATATATGTTATCTTATATTTCCCTATAATTTATCATGTCCTTAACTATTTATTTCTGGCTTATATAAAATTACACAGAAAACAAAACCTAAACATGACCGAACAAAGAAAGCTGTAAAAATGGAGAAGAAAAAAGACAAAGGAAAATTTGAGGATTCAGAAGAGTAAGACATGTTATTATTATAAAAAATACATGTTACTATTTTTCTTCCTTGTTAATTTATATTTTAACTTTATACAGACAATTTAAGATCATAAAACATAACTTATTAACAGGTTTTTAAAAACATAAAATTAGCAGATATATATAATTTTATAAATAGACCAGGATATGATTTGGGAAAAAGCTGAAAAGGGAAGAACAAAGAGCCAAAAGTGGATTAGAGTAGGAGAATAAACTGCAAGATATTCAGGGATACGTAAACAGAATTAAGTCTTTAAATAATTATACGGAAAAAAGGTTTATATTGTTTCCTTGATGGTTGCACTACTGCTTTGTAATTTGTTAGCTCTCCAGTCTGGGCTGTTCTTTTCCACTGTACTTTTTAATTGTACTTATTTTTATAAAAAAAAGTTATCTATTTTTTATGTATATGGATTATTGCGAAGTGGCTTTGTTAAGTGAATGTTTTCTTTAGTGTTATAAAATAATTATATTTTAAATTTGCTTGGTCAAACCCTAATATAAAAAATATAATTTAAAAAAGAAACTATGAATTTAATCTTTATAGACTTTCACAAATTCTGAGAATAAATTCATTGGACAAATAGCTTTGACCTTTGACTTACAGAAGAAAAAGACAACCAGAGAAAGCAAAATAACCAATGCACTTTGAAAATCTCAGTCTTTTCCCACTTTCATCATACCCATGAGAAGTTAGCCTGAGAAATGTTATTCAGTTGTTTATCATTTAACTTGAATGGATTTTATGGCTTTTAAAATAAACTTTAAAATATTTCATCCCTTTAAAATGATTTAAAGCCCTCCCCAAGAAAGCAAAGCAGTGATGCCTTTTAAAATATAATAAAATCTATAACATTTTTAATTATAGAGGGATGTCTCCAGACAAGCAACTTAAAATGAAAGAAGATTTGCTTCAAGTCCAGGTAACATATACACTCTCTCTATGTGGCTATATTTGATTAATAAGTGCTCTGGTAATTATGTGTACAGACATTAGTATGCATGTGAATATTGGGGTGTGTGTGTGTGTGTGTGTGTGTGTGTGTACTAAAATTCTTCCTAAGATATATCTTTTTTGTTGGTTAACTTTTCCCAGAAAGTTTCAGAAGATAAAATTGTAAATCCAGGCATATTTACTGTCAAGATTATGAAAATTACAGGCAATATCATGGAGGAATGAATATTATATTTGGAGTCAGAGGGAACTTACTAGTCATGTGACTTTGAAGAAGTCCTTTTAACGTATTTGAACTTCATAGGTTCCATCACCAAAATGGGTCAAACAATAGTTAATCTAATCTATTTTAAAAAGGTATGAGTCATAAGGAGCAAATAAGATGTTTCTTCAGAAACTGTAAACTATATGGCCCACTTTGTTTTATGTGATCCAATAATAGGAATACAAGTAACTTGTGATTTCATTTTAGCTTTGGAATATTTTTTTTCTTTTGCTACAGGTTAATTTCTTAATAACCATTGTAGCATCGTACTACCCATTTCAGTGAGTGGCTGGAGTCAAGTGTCCCACAAGTACATACCCACCTGAATGATTCAAGAACTAGATAACATAAATCGGGAAAAAATGAGAGTGCCATTTGAGATACTGAATATAAAATGTACGACTTTATGGCATTAGTTTCCTATTGCTGCATAATAAGTTGCCACAAATTTAACAGCTTAAAACAATTTATATTATCTTACAGTTATAGTGGGTTAGGAGTCTGAGCATGGGTTAGCTGTATCTTATGTTTGAGGTCTCACTAGGATTCAGTCAAGGTGTTGGCTGGGCTCTATTCCATTCTTTAACTTGGGGGTCCTCTTCCAAGCTCAAGTGAGTATGATAAACATGGCCTTTTCCACAGGCAGTTCATATCATGGAAATTTGCTTCTTCTTAAGGCCAGTCAAGAGTCTCTCTTGTCTGCTAAAAAAGTCTTATATAATGTAACTTGATTATGGGAGTGACATCTGTCACTCTTGCTATATAAGGTAATAGAGAGAGTGGCATCTCATCACTTTGCAATATTCTGTTTTCTAGAAGCGAGTCACAGATCTCACCCACACTCAAAGGGAGTGGATTATACAGAGCATAACCCTAAGGGTTAAGATCATGGGGCCATCTTAGAATTCTGTCTACCGTACTTACCAGCTCATTTTGTATACTTAAAAAAACGTATAATTGTTTTATATTATTGATATTAGAAGTCTTTAATGTCCTTTAAAATTATTTTTTTGGAATTTAAAGTCAAATTTTCTGTGTAGGTATAACATTTTTTTTTCTGGAGAGAGTGTCTATGGATTCAATGAGAATTTGAAAGGAATTTTTTTCCTTTCCTCAACACTCTATTATGAACCACACTGATGTAGACCATTTTACAGAGATCACAGGAGCTAAAAAGTGACCTGCTTAGGAGTAGAGAACAAATTGTTGGTGAAATCTGAGCTGCAAATATGGCTCTCTGAATCCTATTGAGCACTTGCAAGAATAATGAAAGTTTATTCAGTTTTGTTTCCTCATGTGAGCATGAATAATAGAATCAGTTTGCATTATTATAAATCTGTTCAAGTAATTATAATGCTTATAAATGTTTTAGTAAGTCACATAAAACATTATTTAGTTTTTAACGGAATTATTAGTTGTTCACCTCTTATTTACAGGACCGTTATTCCAGTAATTATTCTAATGTTTATTTAAAGTATATGTAGGTAAAAATCCATTTGTACCTAAAGCTGTCCTCATGTTGTACAAATTGTGCCTGAACAAGGGTGCTGGGCTGAGGGAAAAGCGGGTGTTGAAATCTATGCTTTATTTGCCAATTATACACCCTGGCACAGGGATGCATCTGCCTAGAAGAAAGGTCCTTTTTTTCATTCATCAAAGACACTGTATGGATTAGGAGTCAGTAGACATAGTTGTACTTAACAAAAATTATGCTTAGATAAAATTATATAAAATATTTTTATCTTGTTAACTTTATATTTTTAGACTGGGTTATAATAATAGAGTGCATTTGCTCTAGGCAAGTATCTACTGAGTGGGTGAATTTGCAGCTTTATGGTACGGAGATAAGAAAGGAAGGACAAATGTATTTTTGTAACCTAAAATTTTATAAAATGGAAATATTTATACATTGAATACTCTGTGAATTAAAACATGTATACCATATTTTTGCACCCTAGATGCAATTACTCCTATTCCATTTTTAGAGGAGGAAACTCAGAAGAATTAAATAAGTTGACCAGGTTCACAGAGTTATTAGGTGCACTCTGGTAAAACTGGATAGCCCAAGGATTCTCTCTTTACGTAGGCGGGGCTAAAATGACTAAGAACATATCTTCAAATGTGATGTCCCCATTTTCTGTTTCTTTTCAAAGATAATTCCTTTTCTAAAATTACAGAAATTTTATTTAGTTTCTTCTATGCATAGTGTTAAGAGCTCTGTTTTTCCATTAAAACTGCTTACCACTTACTCACAGATGTGAAATCCCTAGTGCAAATATAAATAGTAACTGTAATTACATTCTATATGTACTTGAATAAATTGAATAAATCTGTTGCATATAACATAGTATAAGGTAATATAGGTGGTACATAATCGATAAAGAAATATTTTTTTCCCCAGAATTTAAGGCCTCTAAAGAATTTTGAAGCTGAAATATGTTAGTACATATCGGAGACATAATGTCTCCAACTAATTCAAACGTAATAAATGCACACACAAAAGGGGAACTATGGTGTAATAGTTAAGAATGTGGAGATCGAAAATGGGAGGGATTTTTCTATAGAAATGACAGTATGTGGGAAGACTTAAGGGAACAAGGGCTATTTAGGAAAATATAAGGGCTTGGGTGTGATAGGAATTTTGGATTAAAGAGAGCAGTAGTAGGAAACCTGATAGGGGCATGTGGGAATGACATCAGTAGTCTGGATTTTAAGGAGGTAATGGAGACTTAGTGAGGAATATTAAGAATGATCCACTTGGGCTCACTGGTTAGCTCAGTTTGTTAGAGTGTGGTGTTGACAACACCAAGGTCAAGGGTTTGGATCCCCATACCAGCCAGCCACAAAAAAAAAAAAAAAGAAAGAAAGAAAAAAAAAGTAAAAAGAATGATCCGCTTTCCATTTTTTATTGAGATCATTCTGCCAGCTGGATGAAAGATGAATTTTGGAGTAGAGATTGGATTTTGCAGTCAGGGAGAATAATTAGAGAGTTTTTATAATGGTTTAACTGAGTGATAATCAAACTAGTTAATTATAAGTTGTATGAATTTATTAAGATACAATTGTAAATAGTATTTCTTATAATATAAATTGTACTGTTGCCAAATAGATTTAATTTTATCAAAATATTCATGCTTCCAAATTAATATAGTAAATATAATGCATTTTTAATCCGAATTTAAAAACAACTTTTAAAAAAGAGGTAAATACTTTGAAAATTATATGGAACTTATCTGTAAAATCATCTAGAAGCCTTATTAAAAAATGGTAGCTGCTTTACCGTTTTTCCAATTCTTTCAGTGGTTATTGATACATCTGTTTTGGTCATTTGTATTTTGATATAAATTCATCTGTTTGTAATGGTTTTTCAAATTTGTTGCTTAGAATTTTATACTATGTTATCTTGGGGTTTCTTTTCTTTTTTTCTGTATCTGTAGTTCTACCTCTTTTCCAATTTCTTTTCCATTTATAAAACTATTTGTCTTTGCTTTCTTCTTTTGTTTTTAAGCAGGTTGTCAGTGGAGTATATATTACAGGTATTTTCAGTTAACCAGTTTTGGATTTCATTGAGCCATTCTGCTGTTTTATTTCCTTTTGCTGTTATTGTTTTCTATATACTTATTTCCCTCTTTTATTAACTTCTTATACCTTTTTTCTTTAGTGTTTTTAGTCCCTTTTCAAATTTTTTTAGTTGTATACTTAATTCCTTTTTTTATTCTTTTTTAATTTTTATTTTTTTAATTCAAAATATTTTGACATTTATTTGTACATATATGTGGGGTACAGCATGTTATTTCAATACGTGCATATTACTGCACAATGATTCATTTAGGGTGGATATCATAGTTTTGTACCCATTAGTTCCCCCTTCCCCCTGCCTCTGGTAACCATTCAATTCATTTATTTTTAGGTCTCGTTTAATAATAGTGAACACTATCCAGGATATACATTTTTCACTGAATACAACTTTATTTGTATTTCATAGGTGTTTAAGTTTTTCTTTGTTTCAAAAAATGTTTTTAGTTCACTTTTTCATTGTTAGTTTATATTTTGTAAAGTTAACATTCTAGACTATTTTCTTTATGATTTTCTTTATGATCAGGTGCATGTTTTTGTTTCCATTATCTATTGCTCTATAATATACCAAAATGTAGAGGTTTAATATATCACTGATTAATTATTTCTCACGATTTTTGGGTTGGTTGGGCCCAAGTGGATGGTTCTTTCGCTGTATATGTTTTATCAGCTGGGATCACTCATGTGGCTATAGAATGTTCAAAATGGCTTCCTCATGTTTGGTGGTAACTATAATTACTAAAGGGTGAATCTTTTTCTCTCATGTGGTCACTCATCATTCAATAGTCAAGCCCAAGCATCCTTACATGGCATCTGGAACTCAATAGGTCAAAAGCAGGAGCTGCAAGATCTCTTAAGGCCTGGGCTCACAAGCCTTAGAAGGTCATTTTCATCACATTTTATTAGTTAAAGCAAATCACATGGCCGGCTGACTCAAAGGGAGGGGAAATAGATTCCACCTCTCAATGGGAGTAGTGGCATGTGCATATGGGGATCAGAAAAATTATAGGTGGTCATTTTTGGAAACAGTATACTGGAGTCTTCTCTCTCACCACATGTTGACATTTCTCCCACATGCAAAATGTATTCACCCCTTCTTCCTAAAGTCTCATTACATTCTGAAATTA